AGTGTCACCTTGTTGAAAGATGTGAGATAGGTTTTACAACTTATAGTTGATTCTTATAAACGTTATTGGGCAGAAAATGGTTATACAATTATAGGTGATGGGTGGCAGGATACAAGACAAAGACCCCTTATCAATTTTATTGTGTATTGTGCAAAAGGGATTTTCTTCGTTAAATCAGTTGATGCATCAAATATTGAGAGTAATGTCCAAACGTTATGCAACTTATTTAGTGAGATTGTTGGTCATCAAAATGTAGTTCATTCACTGATAATGCTGCAAACTATAAGGATGCAGGAAGATTGTTATGTGAGAAATATTTGTTTATTGTTTGGTCTCCTTGTGCAGCTCATTGTATGAACTTCATTATGGATATGTCGAAGATGCCTCAAGTGGCTGATTTGGTTACACTTGCATAGAGGATTATAGTTTTTTTTTATAACCACAAATGCTCGTTAAATTGGTTAAAAAAAAGATAAAGTTAGACAGTGATTATTTGTCTGGGTGACACTAGTTTTGGTATTGCATTTATCGCATTAAAGAGTTTGTGTGATCACAAACATGATTTGCAAGCTATGGTCACCTCCCCGAATTATAAAAAAAATGATTAGATTGGAAAAAGAAAAAGAAATTAAGTTTATCATATTGAATCAAAGCTTTTGGAATAATTGTGCTAACATAGTAAAGGTGATGACTCCAATGTTGAGACTTTTACGGATTTGTGATTCCGATGAAAACTTGCTTTAGGTATAACTTTTTTTTATATTTTTTAATGATGTTTACAAATATATTATCATTTTTATTGTTTTTAATGATGTTTCATGTTCTTTTTTTAGGTTATGTATACGAAGGGATGTATAGGGCAAAAAAATGAAGTAGGAAACTTTTTCGCAACAACAAAGTGTTGTGGCCCTTATACTAACATCATTAAAAATCATTGGGATAGGATGTTACATAAGAGTCTTCATGATGTTGCTTATTGGTTGAATCCAATCTTTATACGAAGGGATGTATAGGGCAAAAAAATGAATTAAGAAACTTTTTCGCAACAACAAAGTGTTGTACGACCCTTATACTAACATCATTAAAAATCGTTGGGATAGGATGTTACGTAAGAGTCTTCATGTTACTGCTTATTGGTTGAATCTAATCTTTCAATACGATCAAGAAAGTTTTTGTAAGAAATCAAAGGTGGTTACGGGGGTTATTGATATGATTGAGCGTTACGGTAGTGCCGGTACAATCAATGGTCTAACTCTCATGGGCCAACTAACTTGTTTCGTGAGAATGAAGGTAGTTTAGGTAGAACACTTGCTTTCACTTCTCACAATACTACTCGGCCAGGTAACATTTTTTAAAAAATTTTATTAATGGTGATTTATATTAAAAAGATTATAATATTATTTGTTATTTTCCATTAGATGAATGGTGGAAATTACATAGTGGAGATGCTCCGGAATTGCAAAAATTTTCAATTCGAATTTTAAGCCAAACTGTTTCTTCTTTCGGGTGTGAACGGAATTGGAGTGTCTTCGAGAGAATCCACACTAAAAGAATGAATCGGTTGGAGCATCAAAGGCTTAACGACCTTGTTTATGTTGATTATAATTTGCGTCTACAAAATAGTTAACCTATACTTTCAAACTTTTTTTCACTTTCTTTATTTATGTTTAAAAGTGTATTAATATTTTTTCTAGGATTAATGATAACAAAAATTCTTATGGTTCGATCGATTATGAAAGCATTGATAGTATCGGTTTTTTGGGTGGCTGATGAAATACCGTAAGGTGAACTAAGTTATAACGAATTGGAGAATATGGTTAAAGAAAAGCCACCAAACTACAATAAATCAACATTTTTTGAATCTCAAGCTTCTCAAAGTTAGACCGGTCGACACCTACCTGTACACCGAAACAATCATCCACCATCTCCACCATGCGCATTATCACCCCTAACAGCCACCACTGAAAACCCCACTTGCGAGTACTTTAAACACCAGCTACTCACATCGATTTCTTCTTCTCACTGTTCATGATCTTACATAGATTTAGGGTTCAAGATTTCTTCATCATATCGATTTCTTCTTGAGGTCGATTACAAGATTTAGGGTTCTTAGCATAGATTTAAGGAAAGAGGTTGGGGTTTGATTTTGGTTTATAGATTTAGGATGAAGGTGAAGGTGAAGGTGAAGGCAAGAGTGGATGAAAAAAAAGGAGAAAAAAGGCACAGGAAGTTGGGTAAATGGAAGGGTGAGGGTGGAGAATTGGGGATATTTATTTTAATTTCTTATTTTTTTAATTTTTAAATGATAAACAAATAAACAAAATAATATATATATATATATATATATATATATATATATATATATATATATATAGAGAGAGAGAGAGAGAGAGAGAGAGAGTCAAGATCAAAATAAGAAGGAAATTTTTGGTAGGAAGGTAAGAAGTTTTTTTTCTACATATTTTTTTCGCAAACAAACAAAATGAATCATTAGATGATTCATTTGTAAGATGATTCACAAGAAAAAATTCTCAAAAAAACATCTCGATGATTCATTTATACAATGATTTTGTTGTTATTCACTAAATTTGTCATAAAAGTGAATTTTTTCTTAGGTCCCGTTTGATAGTTTCTGTCTGTGAAAATGCTGTCTGGTAAAGTGCTGTCTGGAAAAGTTTTCTAACTGGGAAAGAAACCATGTTGTTTGATTGTACATCTGATTGACTGTGCTGAATGATGAAAAAAAGTAATAATTCAATAAAAAATAAATTTAAAAAAAGTTATTTAAAAAAATTAATAATCCAATAAAGAAAGAAAGAGACGGGGTTTGGTGTATAATTGTCTTTCCAGCCCATTCAGCCAGAAAGATATGATTTTGGGGCTTTCTGGGAAAGACATATCTTACCGGGAAAGACTCATTCTTTTGTGCAAATCAAACAGTCTTTCCGCTCCATTCAGCCAGAAAGATCTGTTTGGACCTGGAAAGATGCGTATCAAACGGGACCTTAATTTACTTAAAAATGAATCATAAAGATGTTTTTTTGGGAATTTTTTCTTGTGAATCATCTTACAAATGAATCATCTAGTGATTCATTTATTTTGTTCGTCAAAAAAATATGTATAAAAAAAACTTCTTATCTTCCTATCAAAAAAATCTTTTTACCGGATATATATATATATATATATATATATATATATATATATATATATATATATATATATATATATATATATTAAGTGTAAAATAGTCTTTTTATGTCTGGAGAGATGAAGTTTGCAAGTTTTAAACAAACAAGCGATGGTCGGAGTTAATTTTTGTAAATAGGGACTCTTGTCTTTTGGCACCCGTACGAGGAACGATCCGTATAATTTACTCTTGATATTTTTATTCAATGGTGAAGACTTATGTTTATTGGTATTTTTGTTTTGTAGTTTATATATATATATATATATATATATATATATATATATATATATATATATATATATATATATTTGAATATTTTATAATTTTAAATACAATAATGATGTAATAATGATGTCAGCCGGTTCATTAGGTTTTTTGAGGTTTTTTGGACCGGTCCGACCGGTTGACCCATCGAACCGGTACGACAGTCGGTTTGATGGCCGGTCCGGTTTTCAAAGCCTTGATTAAGAAACAGAGTAATGTACAATGTATATCTACAATCTAACTATCATAACTCATAAGCCTAACAAACTTTCACCAAAAAAACTAACTAACAACTAATCAATCAACATTCAGAAGATATAAACTGAAAATAGAGAAAGAGAAACAATGATAAACAGAATCGCAACTCACCTGTAGAGTGTGGACTGTGGTCGAAAAATTGCAGCTCCACCGGCTCACCTGTGGAGTTCGCCGGTAGTGTACAAGAAATCGATTAACTGTGAGCCAGTGGCTTCGAGAATGGAGTGATGAAGATGAAGGCGTCGAACACAGGTTTAGCGTTTAGCGAAGGAGACGGAACTGGAAAGCAAAAGGAAAAGGAGTCGACTTCATTAGGTTTAGACTTTAGCTTTTGCGATTGGGTATTGTATTGTCGATATCAAAATTTTCCAAAAACCAGTTCTGTAGGCGGGTCGAACCATGGTTCACAGAAAACCACCGGTTTTTTACGGTTTGACATACTAGCAGTTTTCGGAGGCTAAAAAACTAGAAACCTTACCGGTTCCCGGTCGAACCGGCCGGTCCGGTTTGGTTTTCAAAACAGTGGATGAAAAAAAAACTTTGATTGTTCATGAACATATGCAAAAGAACATCCCCAAAATACTTATTTCCGCCCAAAGGGGCAATGTTATGGTGATTTTTTCAGAGTTTTTTTTCAAGGAATTGAGTGATTTGAAAAGAAGCAAAGAGAAACAAAAACAATTCAAGAAAAAAAAATCAAACAAAACATTTGATCTTTCATCTTGATGATGAGTTGGTCTTCAGTGGATCACTGATTGTTTTTGCAACTGAACAACATAAAAATCAAACATAAAAAATAACAGTTTTGTCAAAACATTTTAATAAATAAATCGAAACATTTTCCATCGATGGTGGAATAGAAACAGAAGACAACGATCAAGATCTTCTTCATGGAAACAAGTCAACGACAAGGATTTAGGCTTATGAATGGATGCTTTCTCTTAAGGTAAAAGGTGGACAGCTTCTCTAAATGTTTTATCTACAGCTAAAAGATGGAAAACTTCATAGTAATTGATGTTTGCATATTATACCATGATCCAAAACGATGACATCTAATATGCATCCAATGAGTTATAGTCTCAGTTGACATCTAATATGCAGCCATTCAAATTAAGGGACAGAATCACACAATAACATTAATGACTCCCAATGAGTCGTTTGCAACAAATTGATGTATCACACGAACAAGATGATGATGTACAACATCTCTATCGAATACTCACACAGCTCAATGATGCCCTATGAGAGTTAACAAAATAAATTCTTGAATATGGACTATGCCAACGTAACAAAGAACCATAATCTCGCATTTGCAAACTTGGAAGCAATGTGTTTAACAATTTAAAAGAGTATAGAGCAAGCTGAAGCCAAAGCAAACAATATTTAAGAATTTAACAACAAATAACCATCATAGATTTCATGGAAGATATGCAATTGATAACAAGGAGGCAAGCTCCCCAATTGTGTTCATCCATCACAATACTCATCTTAATCAACAATGATAAATTCGATTTCCATCTGATAATCCCATCTACGGAACAAGAGCAGGAATAAACAAAAAATACTTCGTTATAAAGGAAATCAAAATCCCCACAAATTATATCATTCGAAACCACTAATTAAGCAGAAAAGCCTGACCGATCAAATTAGGGTTTAGTGCGGGGCGGCGGAAGATGGAGTGCCGAGCAGGCTAGCCTGTTGGAGCTCCAGCTCGTTCAATTGAGCCTCTCGGTCCATCTCAATGATGAGGGGAACAACGAGGATCAAAAAAGTTGTTCCGGCAATCCAGGCTGCCTTGCCTGTGCTCCTGAGGAGCTTCTTGACGACGAAACCCGCATCGGAAGCGGCACGCTTGCCTTTGTAGACGATTGGAGATTCGGATACTGTTGATGAAACCCTAGATAGAACGCCTTCGCTGTTGGGCTTCTTCGCCGCCATTACTGGCTGAAGTAGTAGGCGTCAAAGGTTTCGCGATTTTCTCTTTCGAGCTGCTGGTTTGAAGCTTTACTCAGTTTAGGGATCATTAGGGTTATTTTGCTTTTGAAACATAGGTATTTTTATTTTGATAAAACTATCTGAAAAATATAAAATGATTTAAAAGAACATTTAAAAAGAATATGTTTCTATAATTAAAAAATTGGTATATTTGGAAAAAACTCCTAAAAAGCTAATCTAAGTAGTTTTTTTTTTAAATGTACCTTATAAACTACTTTTGGGTTTGCCAAAGATGACAACTTAAAAAAGGTCGAAAAATAAGTTATTTTATCAGCCAGTTGTGGTGCGCCAAACATAGCCTTACATTCTCATTTGACCTAAGTGGATTTTTTTGTTTCTAATTAGCCTAAATAACTAAGATGACGTTATCTTTCTAGTTCAGTGTATTTCAACTTCAAAATGGAAGCTTTTTGCATGCAACAATGATGTTAGAAACCTTTTTCAAACCCTTCTTCTCCCCAATATCAACTACATGAAAACCCTTTTTGTTGCAAACGTTTCTTCTAAAAGATGATGTTAGGAGTGTACGAATGTATTTTGGAAAATATCGAATAGTATAAGAGAGTGGTGACCGACTAAGGAGCTTAACATGTTGTTAACCGACGTTTCAAAATCTTATCAACAAGTTGGTTAACAACATGTTAAGCTCGTTATCCGATCACACTCTCTTATACTATTCGATCTTTTCCAAAATACATCCGTATACTCCTAACATCACCTTTTAAAAGAAACATTTGCATCAAAAAGGGTTTTCATGTAGTTGATCTTGGAGAGAACAAGGGTCTGAAAAGGGTTTCTAATATCATTGTTGCATGCAAAAAGCTTCCATTTTGAAGTTGAATTACACTGAAGTAGAAAGGTATGTGGATGCCAATGATAAATCGATGTGTATGTGTGTTCTTATCTCTATAATCGAGTTCCATAGTGTCACTAACAACTTTGATTTTTCATCTTGAATATATGGCTTCACCATCTGCTGCAACATCATGTTTTGGAGGCTAGAAGTTTTGGGCATTTTAGTAAAAATAAAAAGTTTCTTTAATTTAAAATAAAATAAATTGAAATGAAAAAATAAATAAATAAATGTAAATTATTTTGATTAATAACCATAATAAATATTATTGATACATCATAAATAAATTTTGATAGTGTTTGACCGTTAAATGAAACATTTTAAAGTTTAGGGACCAAAAGTGACAAGTTTGAGAAACTTGTGTTTGTCCAGAGGATTTAACCAAATGAACATCTAGGATCGATTTTGTATAAGTTAAGATATGGAATGACCATTTTTTAGCTAATGTGAGTTTTAGGTGAGCATTGAGACCATTTCTGAAAGGATTTTTGGAAGAAGGACCAAAACTGTCAACTCGTCAATTTTAAGGGGGAGCGCGCCGCGCTTTTGTTGTTGAACAGTTTATATCAACGTTGTTATGTTGTTATCTTCCCATTTTCACCCATCCTTCTCCCTGATAGTTTCATTTTTGTAACGACGTAAATTTTAAAACAATTTTTCGTTTTTCAAACACAATAAAACTCATATAATATTCTCAAAATCTCATGTGTATCAAATGTCATCACAATAAAACATATCCCAGAATCTCAAAAACATAATCCTTTGCCAGTGTGTACAAATCATGTCGACGCCTTCCCGCGATCCTCGCTAGTACCTGAAACACATATCACATAACACGGTAAACATAAATGCTTAGAGAGTTCCCCAAAATACCACATACAACACATAAGCCACTCGAGGCTATAACTCGATAAGACCACCTGGTCAATGTGTCTCGGCGGGACCCTCCAGTCCCGTAGCTCGTTGGACCCTCCGTTCCGGTCTAGCTCGTTGGACCCTCTGGTCCGGTCTAAATCGTTGGACCCTCCGATCCGATCTAAATATCACATAGCATACATAAATCACAATACACATAATCTCAAGTAAACATATAACACATAAGACCCTCCGGTCTGCTCATGGATACCACTCTAGGTAATGTATAGTGAGAAGACTCACCTCGTATGATGTCTAGTAAACTCTCGTGCTCGATATCCCCGACCTAGCCTCCGCCTATCAAGATGATAATATCTCTAATCAATACTCTCCTCATGTTCTCATCTCTAAAGAATTGGTAGAAGACCATTCTACCCCTCCATGGTCTCTCTTGAATCAGTGTGACCAAGCCCCCAAGGTCAACTGAAGTCAACCCAGTCAACGGTCCAACTTTGACCAGACTCGTCGAGTGCACTCGGGTGACTCTGCGAGTCCATGCGTGTCCTCTGAATCCTCATAAGGCCTCACTCGACTCGTCAAGTTAACCTTTCACTCGACGGGTTACCACTGATCATGGATCGCGGGGCAACCCGATCCGACTCGTCGAGTTCTCTCATGGACTCGGCGAGTTTCCTCCATGGCAATACTCATTTGGCCTTTTGAGGTCAGATCTGTTTCTCTAACTTATAGATCTGACCTTCTAACACCCAAAAATCACGTAAAGGTCTGAACTTGAGGCTCATGCATGGTGTATTTTGCTCTATACACCATTATGACTCCATTGAAGCTTCATAGCTTCAAGGTTCCAAAGTTACTCACTCAAAGCTACCTACTTTCTGGTTCTCTGGACCTCACAAGGTCCAGATCTACAAAATAATCCCGAAAAAGGGTTTGGATGCACCCAAAACCCCATCCAAATGGTGATACAAGCCCTAACTCAACAACCAAAGGAAATCTATTCAAACATCAGGGAGACAAGAGCTTGTACCAAATCTGAAGCTTGAATGAAGATGAAGCTGATCCACCAACTCTCCTCTGAGATCCTTGCAACACTATTGACCTTCTTCTTCAAAGAAATTACCTCCAATTAGCCTCTTTCCTCTCGAGCTCACAATAACTCTAGGGTTTCTCTCAAGGGACGAAGACACTGGTGGGAAGGGCCAAGGAGGCTATAAGTGCCTTTAAATAGTCTCAAGCCCGAAAGAATTAGGGTTTCTGCCAACAGCGCTGACTCGGCGAGTCAGCGTGTCGACTCGTCGAGTCCATTTATTTTCCACGTCACCAAGTCGCGATCCTACTCGACGAGTTAAGGCGCCAGCTCGTCGAGTCACTCCTCATAACTTTAGAAAATAATACTCATTTTATCATACCTGGAAATCCGGATGTTACAATTTTAATTACTTATTTTCCTAGTTTATTTTAGCATAAATCATCTCATTTTAGTTAGTCTTTATGCATATTTCCTTTTTTATTTGTTTTTTTATCTTTAATCGGGTTCTTTCTAGTCTTTGAGGATGAGTGCAGATTTTTAGAAGACTAACATGGAGCGGAGATGTTCGGGATTGCGGGATTCGAATGAGCATTGAGGACAACGAAGAATCATGGGCTTGAGAAGATTAAAAGAAGATATATGCTAGTTTGGATGCATTTTATTGGCAATCAAAATGGGCTTGATCTTAAAAGAAGATGGAAAACAAAATTTAAAATTGCGGAATTGATTGATAGATCGAGTATTCGGGCTTTTGAGGATTTGGAAAAGACAAATTGGGCTCAAATTGAAGAAAACGTGAAGACTTGTGGGATACAATCTAATGAAGAAGAATTGGATCGGTGGGCTAAAGCAGTGCAGGCCCACCAAATGGAAATGGCTCATTCTCAGTCAGTTCACGCGCCCCGCACAAGAATACCACACGGCCCGCATGAGGTCCTGCAGGGGTAATTTCGTGATTTTACTTTTGGCTTCTATTTGAGGAAGTTTGGTGGGATTCTTTTGGACCTTTTGTACATCCGAAAATTGGGGATTTCTCTAGAGTTTTGAGAACTTTTGGAGCACTTGAAGAACATCAAAAACACCATATTTTGCTCTTGATTCTTGCTACATGTTGGGTACTTTTAACCTGTATTTTGTTTTCTTGAGTTTAGCCATGCTAGGCTAAACTAATCTTGGTTGACTTTGGTGAAATCATTTGAATATTTGTTGAATGTTGAAGACTCCTTGAACTTGTTCTTGAATCTTCATGAGAATATTTTGTGTTTTAACATCTTATTACTACTTGTACGTTTTTATTCATGAGTTTAAATGTATTTGTAGTGATTAGTTGGCTAATTTCTTGATTAAGTAAAGGATCTTAAAATTAGCAAGCAACAAGTGGTTCTTATGTTGGTTTTGCTTCACACAATCATAAAAACATTTTCTCCAACATGGAAGTGAAAGCATTTGACTCCTCTTGGATTTGGTGACTTTTTGGTTCTTAATGCTAGTTAATTTTCACTAATTACATGCTTAATGGAAATTATGACTTTAACTAAGGAAATTGTTATGAGCTTCTCTAACTATTTTAACAACTAAGAAAAGTCTATGTAATCTCAAGCTTCTTGGATTACTATTGCCAAATTAAAGATTTAAAACAAGTATTGCACCATTGGATTCTAATGATATGTTCATCAATTGTTCAAGTGAGAAAACCTTAAGTGAATCATCTTTCTCTTATTGATTTTACATCAAACTCTTGTCTTTGTTGAATTGTCTATTTAAATATTGGTTTAATTCTAGTTTTATTTCAAGTATTTCAAAAAGACCAAAACCCCCATTTTTACTTTTATTGTCATTTTACAAGTAATTTTACAAAGAGATTTTCATATAGTTATAAAATTGAACAAATCTCCACGGATTCGACCCCTTTACCACTATACACTATTTTAGTGTAAAAGATTTAGGGTTATTAAATTTGTTGGCCTCGACAACCACCAAATTTTGGCGCCGTTGTCGGTGATTGGTTTATTTTTAATCAATTTGTTTCTGTATGCCCAAATCTCAACGTACAGGTGCCTTGATTTATAATCCGGGAATTGAAAAAGAAGCAAGGCATTTGGCGAAGGAAAAGAGAATAGAACGTGGTCAAACTTCAAACCCTAATGGGGATCCGGAGGTTGAAATCGCTTCCTCTAGTGACAC